TTTGTCATCACAATACTACTGTAATAAATCTCACTACTAGTGTCTATTTTCAATATAATACTAACAACTAGTCTAACATGTCAACTAGTAGAAATAAATAGACATTATAATTAGAATCAGATATATATAAAACGTAATTACTCAAAGTGCTACTAGCGTGGAGAGTGGCCTTAGAAAGTGAGAACCAAGGAGTTTTGGACAAAATATCCTTCACTTTTAATTTTTGTAGAAAAAATGCAATTACTCAAAGTGCTATTAGCGTCTAACTAAACTAGATCTAAATAAACTAAAAAGAGTCTTACTAAGAAGTGTCCTTATGGCACAAGTAAAAGGCAAAAGATTGAAGAATACAAGACATTTTTTATTAAATTCAGTACATTTTTACTGAAATCAATACACTTTTTAACATTTTCATATATTTTTAAGACACTTTTTACATATTTTCTAACTTTAAACAATGTCTAAGGAACACTTATTAACATTTGCCATGAACTAAATACATCTACATTGACACAGTAGCCTTAATATCAGGCATTAAATAGTATCTAAATGGCATATTTCCTGCTCTCATAGAGTGCAAGTTGAAATTTGGTTCCCAAAAAAAAATAATAATAATAATAATTGAGGGCTAAGCTAACACAAATTGTGGGTCCAACAACATCGCCAAGTGTGTGTAAGATTCATGTGATTGACATGTGTATTGTCAAAATCTTGAAATAACGTCAATAGAGAGAGGGCATTGAATTGGCAACAACATGAGCGTGCTTGATCAAGAGAAGGTGCGTGCAAGCCATGTGAAATAAGAGACACCACGTGAAGTGCTAGAACTGCTATTCTTCCTTGTATTAGTCATACTTGACCCAATTTTTAACCAATAACTGAAAGTTAAGCTAACACAAATAGTGGGCTCAATATCACGAGGTAGGTGCGTGATTCATGTGATTGACATGGGTGTTATCAAAATCTTCAAGTAGCATCAATAGAGAGAGAGAGAGAGAGAGAGAGAGAGAGAGAGCATTGGATTATTAACGACTTGAGTGAGTTTGATCAAGAAAAGATGTATGCAAGCCATGGTAGATTGGGAGAAACCATACAAGATGCACAAACTACTATTGTTTCTCGATTTAATCATACTTAATTCAACTTTTAACCAATGACTAAGGGTTGAGTTAATACAAATAGTGGGCTAACATGGCCACATAAGTGTATGATTTATATGATTGATAGAGATTTTATCAAAAACTAAGAGAGACAGAGACAGAGAGATTTTATCAAGAACACAAGACATTTTTTTATTAAATTCAGTATACTTTTACTCAAATCAATACACTTTTTAACATTTTCACATATTTTCACAATATTTTTCACATATTTTCTAACTTTAAACAATGTTTAAGGAATACTTATTAACATTTGCCATGAACTAAATACATTTACATTGACACAATAGCCTTCATATCAGGCATTAAATAGTATCTAAATGGCCTATTTCCTACTCTCATAGAGTGCAAGTTGAAATTTGATTCCAAAAAAATAATAATAATTAATAATTGAGGGCTAAGGTAACACAAATCGTGGGTCCAATAACATCGCCGAGTAAGCGTATGATTCATGTGATTGACATGGGTTTTGTCAAAATCTTGAAATAACGTTAATAGAGAGAGGGCATTGAATTGGTGACAGCATGAGTGTGTTTAATCAAGAGAAGGTACATGCAAGCCATGTGAAATAAGAGACGCCATGTAAAGTGCAAGAACTACTATTCTTCCTCATATTATTCATACTTAATCCAATTTTTAACCAATAACTGAAAGTTGAGCTAACATAAACAGTGGGTTCAATATCGCCAAGAAGGTGCATGATTCATGTGACTGACATGGGTGTCATCAAAATCTTCAAGTAACATCAATAGAGAGAGAGAGAGAGAGCATTAGATTGTTAACGATTTGAGTGAGTTTGATCAAGAAAAGATGCGTGCAAGCCATGGTGGATTGGGAGAAGCCATGCAAGATGTAGGAATTACTATTCATTGTATTTAGTTTCAATTTTTTGGATTTAAATTTCTAGAAATTGAGTTTTTTTTATTTTTCATATATATATTTAGTGAATATTTTTAAGATTTTAAGTAATTTTTTTATTTTTTTAAATGCACCTTACTTAAATATATCTAAAAAGCAAAATATTTTTAAAAAATCAATAAATGCACAAGAATACAAAAAATGTATTGAATTTTTATTTTTTTAAATATTTTTGTTATTTAGTGAATTTTTTTAAGATTTTTTTCACAAATATTATATTTTTTAAATGTATTTATGTTATGTGTATTAAAAAATTAAAAAAATTTCTTAAAATATTAAAAATATTCAGTGAAAATAAAAAAAAATACAAAAAACAAAAAAAAAAATCAATTTTCTAAAAAGTAAATTCAAAAAATTCAAACCAAACAAGTTGATTGTTTCTCGATTTAATCACACTTAATTCAATTTTTAACTAATGACTAAGGGCTGAGTTTAGTACAAATAGTGGGCCCAATATCGCTATGTAAGTGTATGATTTATGTGCTTGATCGAGATTTTATCAAAAACTAAGAGAAATAAGGTTATTTTGAAAAGATGGTTAAGCTGATTATAAACTAATTATAATCAACTTTTTATAAAAGAGAGAAGTGAATTATATCTCCCTTCCCAAAAGACCCTTAGAGCTACAAAATTGATGCCAAAAGAAGCTAAGGAGGGGACCCAAAACCATATAGACATGGACCAATAACAGGGTGTAATGATGACTTAGGTGAAATCATGCGCCTAACCACATGGACCCATTTGACAGCCAAGACTGATCCCCAATTATCCTGTGTTTGTTTGCGGATGAAAATCTATCCGTGGAATCGGATGAATCGTCAATTGACAGACTTAGCCAGCTATGCAACCAATGTCAAACAGGGTTAAATCCGATAAGTCAATCAAACGGTTGAGAACTCATCAAATGTTTTGAGCAAAAGAAAATGGTCCAGTAGGGGTCCTTGAAACATGGGCTCATGGTCCCAAACCTATGTGTGAAGACCTTTCTAGTTGGGTTTGAAGTGTGTGGTGTGGTGTGGTGTGGTGGTTGAAGGAGTGTAAGTAGTCCATGTGATGATGTGAATTCCCATATTGGGCTGACCCAATGACTTACAGTGCCCTATTTTCTAAGCTAAAAATTTGATTGATTTTAATACATTTGTCCTTGTTCATTAATTATATAGTATAAAATACAAATCAATTGTATCTAGCTACTCCAAAAATCCAAGCTCTCTTGCATGAATTATTTTCTTGACTTTGGTTTGGGAAGTTGGTTTGCTTTTTAACTTTTTTGACTATTTAAGCTCTGGGCTAAAAAGCCTAGTTTGGAAAGAGTTTTTGACTTTTTTTTTAGAAAAAAAATGTAATGATTATAGGTTAGATGTGATATTTTGTCTTATTGGGCTAAAAAGCCTACTTTGTTTTTTGTAACTATTTTAGTTCCAAACCCACCCAAACCCACTTCCGAAACAATGGCTAAGCATCTTGGCTAAAACCATTTCATCTTATTACAAGGTTAGAACAATTTTAATGGAACTGCTATTTGTGCTATTATAACTATTGTATTACAGTTCATTGTCTCGATGGGGTTGCCACTAAATTTCTAAATTTTTGCATCACTATTCTTAGCGTTTAATTTGACACAAATTTTGAGAAATTATCAAACCTTAGTGTTACTATTAATAGCTAGATATATTTTATAAAAATCCAATAATGGTTGACAAGATAAGACAATGATTGTACCAAAAAATGATACAAACACTGAAATAAGATTGTTAAATTTTGACATTTTTGTGTCACAATATAGCCAAAACTTAGTGATGACATGTCATATTCAATGTTAAATACTCTTAGATATTCAAATCTCTTAAAACTAACATAAAATAAATCAAATTATTAGAGTTTTACTTATGTTCAGTTTGTTAAAAATTCATTCTCTCGGTAAAAATAAATCAGTATTTTGATTATAAATAAATAAGGATGGGTGACTATAATTATAAATAAATAAAATAAGAGAACAACCTGTCGCATTAAATACAAAATGGACTTTAAACATTACACTTACATTGCAACATTTTTCATTTTCTCAGTCAAAACAAAAATAAATGTAAAAAAAATCATCAAAATTTTTTTTTAGAGGAAAATCAAAATTATTTTGATTGCGAAGGTTAATGATATTGGTATTAATATTAAATATAAAATATAGTATCAAAAAATAAAATTACAACCTAAAAGATCCCTATTAAATTGTTTTCCTCAAGATCTCAAATAAGCTCAAGCCACCTCTGCGTGCCAACAATTTTGATTAATTGAATTTATATCAGTCCAGTCCATAATAAACTAATCAAAAAGCCTAAGCGCACAGACGATCGAACCTAAATCCGCATACAAAAACTGTGCATCCGATCGTCCATCCAAACGACCGGCCAAAGATTGTCGACCGCAACTATCATGGTGTCAACCGCGCCTATCATCTTGGCCAAAGCTTGTCAACCGCAGCTATCATAATGTCAACCGTGGCTATCATCTTAACTAGAGCTTGTCAACCGCGATTGTCATGGTATCTTCCGCAGCGTCCAATTGAACAATTTCTATTTTTGATTATGTGTTTAATCCTCAGTGTTCATAGCATTGTTGTAAACTAATTGGCTCTTCAACATAACCGGATCAAAATGGACAATCAGACCACAAGGCATTCCATACCATTTCTCTAGAAAATTTATTCTTAAACCTCAACAAGTATATATCCAGCAAGTAAACTATTTTCCATATCCACATGACACAGAATTGAACAAGCATATGAAGAAATTGCTCCCAAATGAAATTAGGAAAATACTAATTATATTTTCACACAAAATTAGTGAAATAATTTGTTATTTAAAACCAAATCCAGAATAATTGAAAATAATCAAAATGTTCCATACCATTTTTAGATGTTCACAATGGAGCCACAAGAACAAATCAACCAAATACTTCTCATACAAATTTGTTTTTGAGTTCATATGATCTGTTCATTACACGACGAAATTGGGTGAAAAGCAAGCAAAAACTATATAGCAGCTCACCAATTACTAAAACAATAGGCATTTCTTCTGAGCTCTCTTCTAAGCTCCCTATAAAGAATGCTGCCCACAGTTGGCAGAAGAATAAAACAATATTAAAGCAAAAACACTCTCGATGGAGAAAGGTGAATTCCCCGCCAGTTTTCTATAGATATTTTACAAATCTAAATGCAAAAATAATTTTACAACTTGGCGGGGGATGTTGACAAAAAATCTATAGTGAAACACAAAAAAGGGAAGAATAAATAAATAAAATAAAATAAGATTTACAGCATATTAATGTACTGTTCGAGAAATCTGCCTAATTTGGCAGAATAGGCGAAAGCATGCTCGAAAATCCTTTACCCTCATTCATCTAAAAATTGGAAGGCTGGATTCTCAACAAGTTCTGCTGCAGGTTTGATATTTGAAAAATCCTTCTCTTGCAGTGACTTGGTGAGGTCATCAACCGAAAAAGGAATGCTGTATGCAGAGGCATAAATTAGTTAAAAATTTGATGTTCTACACCATCTGCTTTTTTCAATATATAATAAAATGACTGACAAACACTACTTCAACCCCTTCCAACAAAGAAGACACACCATTAACCAGAATAGGGACATCGATTGACTTCTTATTTTCTTCACAAATAAACCTAAGAAAGCATTTCCTTCTATTATGTGAATTTTATAGGCATTTTCGTTTCATATTGCTTGAGAGTTGTATACATTTGAATATTAAGATGGCTGTATTGTAGTGTTAGCTTATGTATGATATTGGAATAGTTTTGAAATATAATGATAATTGATTTTATTTTTTTACCAAACTAAGCAACCAATAATTTGTTTTAGAATTTGCCCCCCAGCCAAAATCCTGGCTCCGCCACTGGAAACACCTAGGTTGCGTTTGGTAGAGTTTTCTAAATATGGTTTGAGAATAGAGTTGTATTTTGAGTTTGTGAGTTTTGAAATTATGATTTGAGTGTGAAAAATTTGTTTAGTAAATGAGTTTTGAAAAATGTTTTGAATTGAGTGGAGAATTTTTGATGTGACATATGATATTTGATACAAAAACTTACAACTTATAACCAAACCCACAACTCAAAATTCTATTCAAAACTCATAAAAAAAATTTAAAATTTCCGAATTTTTTTTATTTAAAATATAAAAAATAAAAGGTGGCATTTGTAAAAAAAAAAAAAAATTTAAAAACGCACTATTTCGGTCAACCGGCCGGATGTTCCGGTTAGCCCAAATTTTCCCACCTTGGACAAAGTTTTCAAAAGTGAGTGTAGAATTAATTTTTGAAAACCGTAAACAAACACTACACTCAAATCTAATGGTAGAATTAACTTTACAGAATTCTATCAAACAGAGCCCTAAATTCTACGGGTAGAGTTCTGGTCTGAAGGGAGAAGTTTCAAACCCACGTTGGAAGGGTGGCTCCCTGCCAACTGTTTTACCCTAGAGGTTGAGCATGAACTATGAAGCATATCAATTATGAAGAGGGACAAGTTTTACCCGGAATTGTCATCCAACAAGAAGGAACTGCTGCCAGCATCATTAGAGTCTTCTGTCATTAGTACCCTCATGCTGGAAATGACCTGTGCAAAAATAAAAAATGAATTTGAGCTTTCCACATTGGCCTCAGAAGAAAAGATTTTTTCGCAAAGAAAAACTTACATTGGGAGATACACTTCGAGTATTATAGTTGTCATCCCAGTACAAAGTGCATATTCTATACAGCTGCTGGACACTTAGAATCTGGAGAGAGAGAGAGAGAGAGAGAGAGAGAGAGAGGGAGAGGGAGTTCAAGTTTAAATAGCAGGTACTGAAAGAAAATGCACAAATGTAAAATCAAAGTCTCATCCCAGTTGAGTTAGGATCCTTCAAAAAAAATCATATTCCATAATATAAGTCTATAGAGGGGGTTTTCTATTACATCTTATGCTCATTTTTGTTTCTTTTTATACTTGTGTTTTTACATGTGGAGAGAGAGAGAGAGAGAGACTTACAGGGCACAGATCGTTGGTAATTTCATCGTAGGAAATTCTATATTTCTGATGTATAACCTGTGGCACGAGAGAGCTCACAATGAAGTGCTACATTAAGGAGAGGAGAAGAAAACCCAATACAGTACCAGATTCATTCAAAAGCGGAAAAGCAGCAGTAGAAGAACAATTGTGACTACCCAGACACCGATAAAAAATAAAAATAAAAAATTGCCACTATAGTGATCATGACATTACAACAGAAAAACAAAATATTTATGGAATTGATAGCTTAATAGTATAAAAGAAAAAAATAAATAAATAATTAGGGAGCTCAACTAAACAGTTCAGCGCCTTTTTGACATATTTTGTTAATAAAATTTTACTTATCAAACAAAACAACCAAAATGTAAAGTTATTTAAATAAACTTTTTATAACCACAATAATCCAAGTACTACAGGGAGCTCAACTCCAGAGCAAGCAGCTCAAAATTTGCCAATAATTGAAATACCCTAAGTTAACATAGAAGTAACATTTCAAGCTATTTGAGAATTGATGAAAATGTAAAAAATGTAGAACAAACTCTTTTCTCTACAAATGGGTTATTAAGGCAGAACTTAGGGGTGCAAATGGTCAAGATCCATAAGCAAAGCTTTCATTTTGTTATTATTTCTAAAGTTATTGTTTGTGACTCAAATACATTTTACATGGTTATTAACATAAAAAGATGATGCTAAGTATTTAATTTGTTAAGAGAAAATCTATTGGCAGACAACAATAATGAAGTAATAAGTTACATGACTTGCATCATGACCAATTTCACAGAACAAAACAATTTATACACAAAATCCTTAAAACTTGCATATGCATTAAATGCACTGATCCAAATTGTATTTAAGTAATTATCAAGCAATTTGGTATCGCAAAAAATCAAAAGAAATATGCATATATTAACAAGTTAACAACATGGGTACCAGGAACAATGGCCACATTGAATTTACTGTAAAATAACACTTCAACTTCAAAAGAGATGAGCATACCAAAAACCCAACAGATTGTCTTATGTGCTTAAGTTCATCCCATGATGAGCCTGCATACTGCAACCCAAAGAAAGGTATCAAAAGCAGGGAAGTGGTGTAGATGTACCACAGACAATAAGTATTGCATACAGAAGCAGCAAGCAATGATGGATTTATTGATATAGCAGTAATTTTGCACACCAGATAGAATTGACTACTCATGGAAGAAATTACCTCTTCCTTTGCTTGGCAACACCAAAGCTCTAATTCTGCTAACCCAGATTTCACATATTCCCCATTGCTAAATGTACAACACTCACGACGTAGAAGAAGACTACAACATCAAAATTAATTTGCACAGAATCAGTAAAACTAATTGCATTGCAAATCAACAACATTCAGTACCAGGGAAAAAAATAATAATACCTATTGAAGAGTTGGACATTGATGTATGAGAAAGTTTGAGAAAAGATTTTCTGAACAAGAATTGGAGGAACCTGAAACCCCAAAAACAATAAGCATTTCTTGTATGTGTCTATATATATAAATAAATAATTTTTTAAAAAAACAGGTAACACCAAGGTCCATACAAAATTTTCTTTCAATGTACTGAGAAGAGTGTTGAGACATTCAATAATGCTCAGCCAGTGATTCGATGGAGAATCCTTGCCAAAGGACCGCCCAGATCTTAGCACACCCCCCTTGGATGTTCTTGGTGCCTAAAATTTCAGAATTATAAATTATAAGAACATAAATACAAGCTTAACTGGTAAAATCATGACCATATGCTAGCATTCCAAAAGTTCTGCAGAATTCTGCTACTACATGTTTAAATGGCAGACTAACGCATATCTCCAAAAGAGTATTGGTTCACGTGACAAAGCTTAAGAATTATTTTTCCACTACAAAGTCATTTATAAATATATATATATATAAATACAGAGAGTTAGAGTCCTAATAAGTCAAATATTTTGTCAAAGCTGTCCTCTTAAAATTTCCAGATTTCATGATAACAGGCCAAATTAAAGTATGGAGGGAGGCAGGAGTAAGGGGATGGGGGCTGTTGTTACACAGTGGATGAAAATTGAACTTCCCATACCTGAATACACAAGGAAAGCAATGATGCCAACTCCTTTTTCAAGTTGTCTCGAATGATTCCGTAGATTTTCTCCACATACGCTGTGAGCTGCTGCTTGAAAAGCAGAGCTGGGTATTTTGCTTCAACTTGGCGTACTGTGTCATGTGCAGGTGCAAGATTTGCAGAAGAAGGAGACGAGCGGAAACCCTAGGAATATAAAGCAAATCAAATTACATAGCATGAGTAGAAATATAAGAACTGTAACATCCTAATTCGCATCAAGATTGGACCTCATACAAAGAAACAAAAAAAAAGTTGAAATATTCCAATACCATAGTCATTCTCCCAAACAGTGATGTAGGAGCGGGTGGCTTTCGGTGTGGGGTTGCACCAGATGCACCAGCAGTTTTTAAACTTCTTTGGAGCAAGAACAACAATGTAGAGGTATTTGATAGCCAATAAGCCATATGATCGTTGTTATCTTGATTCTGTAAAGATCTAAGTTTTGTTATTATTCAATTTCTAAAAATGTGTTACGTTATAAACTTGCAACTGTAAATAAAGAAAGTACATAAGAAGAGTACGTATTTAATAACAATAAGGCCTTTGCTATCCCAAGGAATTAAACACTGCCACATGTTTACCCAGTAACCAAGCTCCAATGGTAGTGTACAACGGACAAAACAACATGATTGCAAGGATGACATAATAAGATAGACTACTGCTTACCACCCAAGGGAGCGAAGGCTTACTCTGTGTGGTTCGATGGGTAGGAGGATTTAGGTTTGAGTCTTACCTGTAGTCACAATTACTCACACCCATTAATCATGTGACCCACTATGCCCTTGATGGGCTAGTGTTGAGCTATGGCTCAAGCTCAGCTTGAGAGCTTGAGGGAGTGCCTAAGAATCACTTAAGTTTGCAAGCCCATCTAGGTCCCTCCTGTCCAACTCCCCAATGGGTTACTATGGTCACCCCTTCCTACCCCCTTTGAAGAGCAAAAACAAGTATTGCTTATCTTTAAAAACTCCTTATGCCATCTTACAACAAGAAGAGTAAGAAAAATTATACAACTTGATCTGAATAAGAAACCAAATGAAGTAATTCCAATTAATATGAGAAGTCATACATATGTATGCACTTGTAAAATAGCTATGAAGCAAGGACACCTCTCTAGAGGTCACGTAAGGGTGTTCGACACATATCTGACATACTAGAGGAAGTGAAACACTGGAAACGTTGGGGACACAAGGTGTCCCATTTTTATTTTTATTTTGTCACTAGTGTAGCATAACCAATGTGGATGAATTTGATGAAAACCAAAACTGAAATCATGACCAAAGGTAGGATGAAGCAATTGTCAATCACCATAACAGCGATAACAGAATCATAAGAAATGCATATATATCATCTTGCATGTTCTACACAGTAACCTCTACTGCAGTTATCACATCCAGACAAATAATGACTGTGTGATCCAATTACCTCAATAGCTGAACCAATCGTCTGAATGAGACGATCAAACACGCTTGTCCTTTCAGCCTCAAAAGATTTCCACTGGAGAAGGCATTTGTAAATAGTAAATGCTGCAACAGGACTGCCTTGGCTAAAACCAACCTCCTTCATAATACAGTTGATAAGAGAATCGACATTCTCCTGCAGCAAGTTTAAATCCCAAAGATGTTAAAATTAATCAACAAAGGATCTACATGGAGAAAAAAAAATTTAAATGAAAGATGCAGTAAGTATCAATCTATCTGGGAAAATACATGTTGACGTTCAATCAGAGATCTTCTAAACTTGCTATCAGATTCTGTCCCAAACTTCTTAGTAGGTGTGACAGTTTGCAGTTCCTGCACAAATGAATCTTTTCCATGACACCAAAGCAAAAAAGTACCGCAATAATGGGAACTACTCACTAAAAAATAAAAATAAGATAATGTGAACCTAAAAAATAATATAGGTAAATGATTGGGAAGAGTAATATACATTTGACTTATTCTCTTCGTTCACATGGTTACCATTCTCCAAGTTCTGCATAATGTAAACAAAAAAACATTTAGTGTAACAGAGTGGGAAGCGATGCCACCAAGGGGCGATCTCAATAATTTCTGCAAATATACTTACCTTAGTTACTGGAGTTGATGGATGTTCCGACACAAATTTAACAGGAGCATTAAATAAGGACTGCTGTCGAAGAATTTGGTTCTCAGATTCCATGTCAGAAATTTTTTCTTCAAGCCTGTGAATGTATGGAACAATTATTATAATGCAGTATATTACTGAAGGTGAGAATAAGAAAACCATACACTAATTGACCAGCAAGGTTACATGGACTCAGGGGCTGTTGGGTCTAACTGTGTGTCTATCGGATTCTTCAAATCCCTTGTGCCCAAGGACACCAACATAAAACTAGATATTCATATATCATTGTATTCTACTTTTATTTTCTAGGTTAAACTGTGTTTACAACGTAACATAGAGCATTTTATGCATAACTTGGGGGGTTTATGAACTATTATAGAGTAAACTCAATTACTAGACTGCTTACTAGGTGCTTGATCAACAAGACATCAAACACATATCTCATACCCTGACTCAAAGGTCACATGTTTGACAGGGTAATTCATAAATTTGGAAGAGTTCATATAACAAAGTTAACCAATAACCAGCAAGCAAGCAAAACAATCATATGTCATCATCAGCTTAAATAAGTATTCTTAACCACACTAGTATCTCCGTACAACCTTTGCATAGAAGTCTTCAGCTGAATTATCTTTGATTCTGCCTCCAAAGCCTGCTTCAACCTCTCCTCACTAACTTTGTTTGTCTCTTCAAATTTTTTCTCTGTTTCATCAATTTTCTTTTCTAACGAACTAACCAAGGCCTGCAAGTAATTATGAAAAAGCAATGCATTGGCAAATAGAATTGAAGTGCCTCAAATCAATACACAAAAACACATCTAAAAGCAAAATTTATACTTAAAATCTCAGCCTCTTTACCTTGAGTTTCTCATTTTCAGCAGCAAGTTTATCCACCACTGCATGGTCAATGACTGCGACCTCCTGTATGATGGGGATTTGCTCCACTGCCTTTTTGGCAGCCTCACGTTCCTTCATGAGCATTTCTTTAGTTTCTTTGAATTGAAGTTGCATCTCTTGCATCGCAGACTGTAATTTCACATTTTCTTGGGTTTTGGCTTCTTCCACATCAGCCTGCAAACATTGAACGTGAATCAGGAATGACTATCTAAGAAGCAGACAGCATATAAGCACCTCAGCTTCTCTCTCTCTCCATCAATTTGCTTTCTCCAGATAAAAATGAGTCGCGTCTTTGCAAAGTGGTTCCTTCTCTTACAACAATAGATTGGTCCATTAGATTAGAAGGGAACCAAATCTGACAGGAGCTAATTAACTTTAAAGTTAAAATTGCTCCCCAGGTGAATCAGAAATTACCACCAAATTTAACTTGGCAATAAGTTGGGTACTGTCACCAACATCAGATATAATGTTTTTCATTCTGTGTTTCCTCCAGGCAATAGACCTAGTTGTAAGTATCAAGTTCCTTTGTAGGTCCATCAATTGTCATGACTCGTGATGGGTAAGCCTAAGAAAGTAGGTTGATTGAGGGGCAGTCAACTAGTGCAAATAAAGCTAAAAGTGTCTATTCCTATTCTACTCCTCCAAGCACCACCACTCAGTAATGGCCTTTTTTTATCTCTCCCCTTTGTATTCTTTTCAAAGTTTTCATCACCATTTAACAATGATTTAAAATTAAGAAAAATATGTTTTCTTATTCATATCTATTAGAGCGCAAGCGCATGTGCTCATTGAAGGAATTAAGTCCCCATAGTAAAGGTCATACCCACAGTGCACAAGACTCATGGGAAAGGTTCGAGAGAGTGATTCTCGTGATCCAAACCTGCACCACTAGGTTGGGGGCGGATAGCACTTGCCGTCATGACCTCTAGTAAAGGTTGTCAAAATCAAAACCATATTGAAAACTTGGTAATCTTTTTATATCAAAATTTTACATGCAAATAAAACAGGGAAAACAATGGTTAATAAAGAACTTGACAGGGAGCAGAATTAAATTATAATGAACACTAATTTACTGACCCTCATGCGCTTCTCCAGCTGTAATCGCCATGTTAGTTCTTCAACTTGCTTCTCCAGTTTATTTTTGGCAGCTTGAAGAGCGCCAGTTTCCCTTGCAGCCTGTATTTAAAGACAATAAATGAAATAGATATCTAATTATGAGGTAAAAAAAGCAAGAAACAAAGGATCATTAATTACAAGAAAAAGATCCGCTAATTTAGCAAAAAATACTACGAAGAAAATATGGAATTGATACAACCATGTAACAAGTCAAGTTGTCAATCAATTTCTTGTCCTTTTTTGTATATATGAAGCGTAAACTAAAGATTTTTATAAGATGCATGGAAACAAGTGTTTAGTTTATATTCTAACTTGAAATCGCATGAATTATAATAACAATTTTCCCCCCTAATCATGAAATATTGAAAAGTAAAGATTCTTCCAAACGCGGAAAATTTAAGCAGCAGAGACACAATACTCTATATTTCTTCACTAAACAGAGTCAAAAAAAAAAAAAGGAAGTAAAAAAAGACAACAATAATTGACAAAAACCAAATTCAAGAAAGGTGGGAGAGGGGAACAAAGAAGTCACCATCTTAAGCTTCTTCAATTCTCTACGAGCAACTTTTCCCCTCCATGCACATTGTGTGGTGATTGCAGCTTTCTTTAACTTCGTATAGTGCAAGCATGCTAAGTATTTGCGACAATGGCTCTGCAGTAAAAAAAATGTCATTCCAAATACAAGATCCAACAAGAAGTTTAACATAAATAGCCAAAATGAAAAAGGCATGCCAGGCCAACAACCAACTTGTGATAAATTGGAAAAGTACAGATACCATAATAACATTATGGGAAATTGATTCCACATTATCGTGAAAAATGACAACATAACCTTCTTCAGAAGTTTCCAAATAATTGTGCTATGTCTGAATTTAATTTTACCTGAACAATAATTGCTGCTTTTGTCTGCCTTCTAAAGCGAAGCTCATCACGTGCAACCATTCCACGCATGCCAGCCTGAATAGAAACAGCAGAGGAGCACAATTCTTTATAAGCTTTCCTAGCAAGATGCATACGAAAATCTCTCTGAATTCTCAGACAAGAAGCTTCTCTTCTAATGTTCTCGTAAACTTCCCGAGCAAGTTGTCCTGTAATCAGCATAAGGAAAAAATCAATGAGTTATATACTTTCAAGACCTCAGCAGATAGGATTGATGAGCTAATTAAAAAAGTTCAGCTGAAAAGACATATCTAACACAATTAACTACCTCTACACACAGATTGAATCTGTATTGCAGAACGACGAACTAAGACAAAAGTTTTGCGAGCCATGTAAGAACGGATTTTCCTCTGAATAATGCTTGCTGATCTTCCTAAGACCTCAATTCTGCGGGCATCCAGTTCTGCCATTTGACCAGCCCTTAGAAACACCTTTGTCTTACCAATCTGCAAAAATAAGCGTAATAAGTATGATCTGTTTAGCAAAAGTCATCGAGGAAGTAAAAACAGGCCACATGCAAGGATTTAACAGTTTACGCCAGCAAAAGTAAGAATTAATGTAAGCAATTACATATATCTGTGATTACCACTCAAGGTCATGTAAGCAAACACAATAAAGTTCATCAGAAACTAACAATAATCTGTATTTCTATCCCTTTACACCTCTATGAGTACCAGAAAAAAATAAAAATAAAAACAAAATGAGTAATTATAATCCAATATCTGAATTTATATTAATTACAAGATGTCAAAAGGAAACATAAGAATCCAAAAACGGATGCTCTACTTTTTCCCAAACAGACCAAAAACCATCTAGTATGGATGAACAAATATATCCTAATGTTTTAAGCCTCATATCTTTAGTTATCATGCAAATGAGAATTATAGTGCCTAATTACTTCTTGTTTTTATCGGCACCTAAATACAAGAACATCACAAATATATCAAAGATATGTTTCAAACATATCAATGATATCAGGGGAATCAGCAATCATCAATCTAGCTAGTATTCCTTTTTATACTGAAGCATTGGCATCATAAGCATCCATCACAGTTTGAGGCAGATTTAAGGGTATGATGAACAACCAAACATGAAAAAGACGTATTGACAAGGAAGGAACTAGAAATGATGCCACTATACACAGTAAAAATGCCAAAATATATTGATGCACTCTAAGTTGACAACATAATGACCATAAAAATAAAAATAAAAATAAAAAGTTTATTATGGCCATAATGACTTGAGAGAAATTGCCATGTAGCAATAATATAGTTTTAGTTGGCACCCGTTTTAGAAACAGCTTTCTTCATACAATAATGAGTTATATTATTACCTGATAGCCTTGCAATCCCACCTTCTCTAGGAGCCTCTTGCAAGCATCAAACTCGTCCGTACTAGTATATATAAAATAAAAACATGACAAAAGTAGGAAGTTTAAATAGTTTGTTTGAACATGCGTAATTTAATTAAGAGAAATAAACTTATCAAAAGAGTAATTATAAAACGTAACCAAGAAATCAAACTAACCCAAAAAAAAAAAAAAAAAAATCAACTTACCTCCCATCCAAAACTTCAGGTGCCAGCATGCCAAATCGATCTACAAATTCCAAAAACGGTTTTCTTGTAGGATATCCAGCACAACTGATCCTAATTGCTTCCATGACTCCCTGGAAGGAGACACATAAAACAAATAAAATTTGGAAGAAAAAAAAAGGCAGCCAGCTTCGTTTCCAACACCATGAAAAAGTTACCCTTCCTTACCCCACAACGCAGTTGTTGTAGAACATTGCTATTCTCAAAAATAGCTGGCTTAAGAAGATTATTGGGCTTCACACAGCGAATATAACGAGGCTCGGTCGAACTCAGAGTTTCAAGCAATTGTTGCAATTGTTGCTGCAAAAAGTACAACAAGAATTTCGTAAGTCAAGCTATTGTACAAAAGAAGTAGATAATTTGAGAGAGAGAGAGAGAGAGAGAGAACATCAGACCTTGAACCGTGAACCTATTGAAGAGAACTTTGATTGTTTAGAGGACTCCTCAGATGAAAGTGGAAACAAACCCGACACAAAGGAACATTTGGAAGCACTCAAGAGTGCTTGATGTTCAGCAATAACATAATCTTTGTTTTTGTCCAGAAAAAATTCAGTTTGATAGGTGACCTGAAAAATAAATTGAAGTGCTGGTCAATGTTTTTTGTTTCAAAAGTGTATATTCTGGAGCTGAATGAACTATTAAATAAATACATACAATAACACAAAGAATAGAAACTTACATCACCAGCATAATGGCAAATAGTGAAATCAGAACGTGATAATTTTGGCTTAGTGAAGCGTTTATGGTTTTTGAATGTCTGGTACAGCTTTTGGGCAAAGGTTTCATGTGTTGATCTTGGGAACATACTACAAAAAAAATAAGCCTCATCTATCTCACAAGAACTATCAAATGAAATCATAAATTAATAGTTAATGCGATGAATTTATTTTCAAGCCATTACCCTACATAAAATAGACAATGCTTACAGCAGTATGACACTTACCAAGCTTCATCCAGAAGAGCTATTATGCCACCAGGTTTCTGAAAATTAAATAAGCATATTTTGAATTAGGAAAGACAAAACATGAATAAGAGAAGAACACACGGCCACATTTACCGAGCCCTACATTTGTCCAATTAAATACTGAATTAAGGACACAGGAATATGGAGGAAGTTACCAGCAACCAAACCAAAAAGAAGAAGAGCAGTTCTAAAACAATATATATGCAAGAAAAACTATTAAAACAAGGTCCACGTAAATGTGTCTCTTTCTCCATCTCAAGTCCACCTCATCTACAAATAATAAATAAACAAAATTAAAAAAGCACTATGTCTCAACCTCTCTAATTTTTCATTCCACTTGTGATCTTCGACATAACATCCAAGGTGTCTTCACCACACCACACAACAAACCCTTGTCTCAACTTTTACTAATTCCTACACGCATTCTCACCCTTAATACACATAACTCCTGGGGCTTCTTTTGTTTTCTCAATCTCACTAATAAGAATATATATGTTGCTTCATTTTCTTATAAATTATAATTCAGCATGGATTTCTTCACTACCTCATGTTGCATTCATCTGGGAGTTCAATGTTGAGGCAACTTTTTATATGAACAGGAAAATTGAAGTGGCATGAAATTTTTACAATTTGAACATTAAGCAGTGTTATATAATGTCATTCAATAATATTCAGTCCTTCCATCCAATGAATATAGCACAGGATACAGAATTGAAGATCAATACAGAGATGTAAAAAGGAAGTTATAAATAGTAGATGGAGCAAAAGGAAAAATAGTGGAGCAGAGAAACCTAGCTTCTGCACATGAATTCTTTGACGCTTGTCTTTGGAATGAAAAGCACTACCAAATCATTTAATGAGGTCAAAAGAACATATTTTTCATGATCAATGGTATAGTAGTACTACATATATTATGGAGCTATGAACAATGAAGTTGCTGAATATTTGCCCTCATAAGAACAGGCAATGGTTCACTTTTATCTAACTATATCCAATTAGATGGAGCAAGTCATGACTAAAAAATCTAAGAAATGACAGGAAAAACTTCCAGTGCAAATGAGAGACCACAAACCTTTTCAATGAGATCTAAAATATCTTGATTATCAACGAATTCAATGTAGCTCCAATCAATTTCTTCTTTCGTATATTCTTCTTGCTCCATTTTGAAAACGTGCTGTCAACAAAATATTTGTCATAAAGATGATCCATACTAATATGCTTGAAAATTTTCCAGAATAAAGAAGATAAGCACACGTCTTCCAACACAAACCTGGTTAAAGTGTTGCTGAAGCTTTTCATTTGTCAAATTGATGCAAAATTGCTCAAAGCTGCACCAATCCAGGAGCACTAAACCTCAGAGAAATAGTCCAACACATAGCTACAGCAAAAGCTCTATTGTAAACAAAATCCACTCGACAACAAAAATTCAAACTTTACGATTCAAAAAATTGTGCCATCTCTGATGGCTATCTTACAGGGAGGTCCATAACTACTCATAGCTAAACCATCACCGAGACTAGTAGACTTGGTGGTGCCTAAAATGCCACCCATACTTTCTCCAATCCTTCAAAACAATAGCAACTAATTTGGGGAAAATACTACAAACTGAAATTCTACCATAAACCATGAAGCCTAGTAGCCTAGTGGTGTCATTGTGAAAGCAATAACTGAAAATGGAGAAGCAGTGTTGATCCAGATGTTTTGGATCAGAAGTGCAATTTTTATATAATTTAATAGAACAATATACTTAAAGCAGTCTGAATAGATTCCTTCTGTTCATTGAAAGCATCCCACTTCCACTTGATAGCAAATCCTATGATGTCTATGAAACATATGATTAAACAGGACAATGTGTTCAAACTATTCTCAATATTTCTCTCCTCTGTTCATCCCAAGAATCCCACTCCTGTATGAAAAATATCAAAAGGAAACCCCTCAATGGCTGGCATCAGTACAGTATTAAACTAACACCAACCAGATGGCCATTAACTTCTTAAATATCAACTATTTCAGACCTCCAAATCTAACTATATCCAAAGAAAGGCCAAAGACAAAAAATAAAATAAAATAAAATAAAACCAAAGTGACTTCCAACTGCCACAAAGAATCATCACACCTGCCATTGATTAGACAGAGAAAAATGAAATAGACTAGAGCAATAATTAAACTAGCACATAATTTTCCTGACCACCTTGTTTAGGAGTAAAATACCCTTTCAACTTAGAATACTATTTTTATGCAGTTCACCACAAGACACCAGTTTCTGTCATCAATTAATACTAAGGCATACCAGTTAAGCACCTGTTTGTCTTGAAACTCTCAAATCCATAAATATCCAGCACTCCAATTAAAAACTTTGACGTTGGGTCTTGACCAATTGAATTATTGATCTTATCCACCAGCCTGCAGAAACAAGAAGAAAATTATACAGATTTACAAATTTAAACAAACTAAGGAAGAAACTGAGAAGGAGCATACATAAAGCAAGCAGTGTCAATATCAAATTCTCTCGAATGTGGAGTTCTCCAAACTTGATAACGAAGCTTACCAGTCAAACAACCGTGAGTAAACAACTTTTGCCAACGCATCTCTACTGACAGCTGCAGCTTCTGGATCCAGCCATTTTGTGATTGTTTCGTCACGAGTTACAATTACACGTTTGCAAAGAGAATCCTCTAAAGCCTTTGGATCACACCTGACGAGACATACAATTTAGAAACTTGAATTTTCTTCCATCTTGGAAGCACATTAAGCAGAGGGTTCTAAGGATGGTATCTCTTTTTATTTGTGCATATGTCAGTGAAGTAAATCACTTACATGAACAACTCTGCAGCAGTTCTTAAATGGAACCAAGATTTTTCGTCCTTGGGCATAGACGAATCCATTTCCTTTCCCTTTGCAAAATCAATATTTCCTAAATGCAGAATTGCAGCCACAACTCGAAAAATTCCATCCTATAATCGGAACAATAAATAGCAATAAATTTTAGTTAGCTATACTTATGCTATGTTTGGTTCATGGATTCCCTTTCCAAATCCCTTCCCAAATCCATGAACCAAACACAGCCCTAATAATTTCACATTTCCAATTTAAAAATAACTCCAATGATTATACCTGCTCCTCAGAACTCATTCCAACAACATCCATGGCCCTCTTTGTTGCTATGTATTCTTTTGAATCATCAATTCCATCCAAGTCATAGCAATTTGATTGATTTAGATAATGAAATGTTCTTGGATTCCCCAATTTGTACCTTTCAACATCCTGACAGGATAAAAAAAACATTGAAAATGATTCTTCCTGAAAAATAAGAGAATATACATATGGAGCTTTACATGAGCATAGTGAACTTATTTTTGAAATGAACTCGTCAAACAACAAAAGTACTGGAAATGCTGGATATGCAAACACGTTGTGACACGCTGTATAGTAAGTACCACAGATAAGGCATCAGATTTTGAATTTGGGTTAAATTGAGGTGGAACAAGTTTTTTCTTCTGGGTTTTTTTTTTTTTTTGTGTATACAAGTAACATATTGAAAAAGTTCATTGTCATAAAGCAAGTTATAGAGAAAACAAAGAGTACAGTAAAAAGGGTAAAAAACATCACTCAGAAAGAGAGATGAGACTTGAACCCAACATCTCCCTGCAACCTGAGTTGTGACACAATGTTAAATCACCAATTATTCCAAAAGCTTAAGTTGTTAGGCAATGAACCCAACAATGTATCCATCAAGTTATGCAACAGGAGGAAGCACACAGATTCCTCAATATTAAGGATGTCTAAAAGATTTGCTTTAGCCAATTGGATGCACAAAAAAAAAAAAAAAAAAATGCATGCTCTAGAATAAAAACTAAAACCCAAGGCATATATATGCAAATATGTTTGGAAAATTAAATGCTTTACACACACATCCTTGTATTAGAGCAGAGATCCCTTACCTCCGGTGGAGCAGCACAAAGCATGTAGAAACAATGATAATTTCTCTCAGGATCAGACACTTGACAAACACGAGATCTTTCAAGCAAATAAGTTCTTATAGCAGCTCCCGAAATCCTTCCCCTCTGGTCAAATTGAAGCTCCACAAACTTACCAAAACGACTACAGTATTCAAAACACACAGGAAAAGACAGAAACATGAAGCAGACAGTATCAGACAAAGTTTGAACTGAATCAGAAAGACAATTTCTAATTTAAAAAAATCCCACCTTGAATTATTGTTTCTGACAGTCTTTGCATTACCAAATGCTTCTAGAACAGGATTAGACTACAAAAGAGATAAAACATATCAAAATAATATTTGTATATTCATGGCAAAATAGTCATGTTGTGATAACTCAAAATTCAACATCAGAATTTTCGACTTCTTAAATCAGCTTGTCAGACACAAAAAAATAGCGAATTGTTACCTCTAAGACTTTCTGCTCAACAGTCCTTCCCTCAGCTGCAACTCTCCCTCCCATGTAAGCGAGATAACGCATAAGCATTTTTGTGCTTTCTGTTTTACCTGCACCACTTTCGCCACTAACCAATATTGACTGACTTATTCCCTCATTGATCATTTGCCTGCATCCACAAAAAGCATTTTTCTATCAGGAGGTGAATTGAAGAGGTTAAAGCAATCAACTTACAATGGGACCCAGAGATTGTGACGAAGTACCTGTACGCTGCATCCGCAACAGCAAAAGGATGCGGACTCAGTTCCCCAAAAGCTGCCCCTTTATATTGTGCCATCATATGGTTATCATATAGATGTGGTAGTCTTCTAAAAGGGTTCACAGCAATCAATATATTCCCTGTGTAAGTCTAGAGGCACCATTAAGCTGATTAGCCTCAATCTAGGAGTAATTGTTAATATCATATTAAAAAATAATGCAAACTTACATAGATTTCATTAATGTCATATCTAGATTTTAAATTATATAGAACTCCTGGTTCATGCAAATAAGCCAGCCTTGTCATATCATCAACTCCACATGGTGGTGCTTCGGCATCTTTGGGATAGGCATTAGAAGCCTTAACAATAACCTGCAATAAAAATTTAACAATGCAAAAGAATGGGCCTGAGTTCGATGAATCTTTATTTCTACGTATGTTTGCCAACTAACAGAGAATATATGTTAGTACTATGAATGTACTATTGCAGAGAAAATAACGCATCATTGCATTGCCACTTTTCTAAATGAACTATAAGAAGAATAACACATATAAAAGTTGTGCAGTTCAAAACATTAGATACCCATATATAGATGTGATGCAGAACACTCACCGTCTTCCCTGAAGTACAAAGAACTTTAATCTCTTCACCATTGACCTCCACAACTTCCCCATCTAACCAAGCATCATCAGGATCCTCCACCCAAACAAGAGATCCAACGGCAAAACTGACTGAACCAGCCTACAAAACCAAATTTCTCACCCTTTTTAAACCATCCATAACCCAACTAGAGCAGAAAAGTGAACTTTGTTTCTTTGCTTATTTCAGAGAGTGACTTTAGAAAATTGAATTAGTAAGCATAGAGCTGACTTTGTCAATACAATCCCAACCACAAGAGTATATATACCAATAAGAAAATTGAATCTAGATATGATTGCTATAACATATCACATCATTAGTTAGAAATATAATCAACCCACACAACAGAAGAAAAAGCACTACATCCAATTAAAGTAAATAAATGACATTATTTCATTAAAAGTAGTTAAGGACCTTTAGATAATCCACTGTGACCAAAGGGGGAGAAAAAGAAACTTAAACTATACATATACATAAATATAATTTTTTGTACATAAAAATAATAATAATTGAAAAAAATAAGTGGAAACTCAACAATTGCAGTGTTTTTACAGCAGTTAGCATGAACGTGGACTGCAAGTTCCTACAAACCCACACAGAGAGAACTGTGAATATGTTGTTGAAAACCTTGCCCAAACAACGAAATAATTGACCATGAAAATTCTCAATATTATATAAATAAGAGCAACAATGCTTGGGAGCAGCTTGGAATTTTTAGGAGTTGTATTTTTTTGTAAAAATTCCAATTGCATGGATTGATGAGGAAACAAAAACATCAAACTAAAATGCATTAAGCGCATGGAAGGTTTTGACAAAGGAAACAAAAATAAAGAGAAAACCATAACATGGAGCAAATTAGAAGAAGCTTGTAAAGAATTATAAGGAAAAAACATAAAGCACTGCAAAGATCACCTGTGGGCCCATTTGATAATGTCTATGTTTACAGTTGTTTGTTTAATTTATAAAAATTTTGAAGGTTGTAAACTTCCACAAAAATGAACAAATTTTTCAAAATTTAGTAAACTCTACACAACCAAAAAAAAAGGGTGATTTCCCTATTTTGTGAACATTTTTTCATTCACTCCTCACTCCTCCAGCCACCCCCACCACCGGCAAGTCCCTGTCTCCTCCCCTTGGCAACTCCCTCCAACCACCCACCCCCTCACTAATTTTCAAAACAAGTTTTTGAAATCATATGCTTGTATCAAACATTATTTTTCTTTTTCTTTATAGCAATAATAAATATAAATATGTTCCATATTTTCAGAAAATAAAAAACAGTAAAATGTAGGACTAATTTCTCATAGTTTAAGGAACACAACCCATATACAGATAACTAATTAGGTTCTTCTATTACTGATAAAACTTATAGAAGGAACTATGGACGCCAATACCAGGGAAAAAGAAGAGGGGGCTCCCATAAGAAGCTACACTTGTGAAGAATAATAAAATTGAAGATCATATCATCAATTTTTCTGACCATAAGAAGCTACACTTGTGAAGAATAACAATACACACATCTAAATCAATATAACTCATTTGTGTTTGCAATGTCAAACCTAGATAAGCAACAAGCTGATGTTTCAATTGACCATCTAGTCAACGACTAAGAAAGCAAACAGAAACAGATCTTAACTGTGTGACTAACACACAACAACCAACAAATCCAAGAACAACCCAAGATAATAAATCATATAGCCTATCTAGTAGAACTAAGAACAGATCGAACTATCAATGAAATAAAACAACAATAATTCAATCAAATATCAGCATTAAACAACCACCACAACTTCAAAGTCAAGATCAACATATACAATACCATTTCGAATGACTTCAACCGGATCGGAAGCCTTGGCTTCCGATTCCTTTAATACCGATGAGAGTTCAATCAAAACCCAGATCAGAGAACAAACTGATTGATTCTTCCAATAATGCCAAACGGTGAAATCCAAATCCAAATCCAAATCCAAACCCACAAAATTTTCCTTCCTTTTCTCAGACCAATTTTCCTTTCCCTCTCTTCTTCAAGGTCAATACAAATAAACAATAATGAACTTGGCTCGCTTTGCTCCCACTTTGTTGTCTTTCGGTACAAGTTATTGATTTTGTCGTCGGGAAACAAAAATATTGAAAGCAAGAACAAGCGACGAAGCAAGCTTATAGAGACCCTTTCACCAGTCCGAATTTCAGCCGAAAAATGGAAAAGTCGGTGCGAAGAGAGAGACAGATGCGAACCCTTTTGCTCTGTAGATCGAATAGTGTGTTTTTGTTATTGTTTTTGTTTTCTTCAATTTTTTTTTATTTCTACTACTCCTGCTCTTGTGGACTCACAATTGGTGGTTCAGTCAATATTTTGTTTATTTTAATAGTAATTTTGGTGATGAGTTATGAATGGATATCAAATAATTTATTAATTTTATTTATATAAATATAAAATTTACATATAAATTTTATGAATTTTACATTCATATAATAAATTTAATAAAAAATTTAATAAATTATTTAGAATTCATATCATTTTTCTGATTGTTTGGTAATTAAGAAAACTAAAACTAAACGTTTTGTTGTTTTTAATGAAGTGGAGAATTACGGGACAGCCCTCCTAAATACGCGTTGGTTTTATTCGGACCATATCGGTTTGGATTGGGTCCTCCCGGGTCTTTCGTAAAAAGGATGATAAGCTAAAGATTTTTTTACACTTGGCCCAAAAATCTGGGTCAGCTCTGCTCTGTGAAGTTTGATTTTCATAATTAACTTTTTTTTTTTTAAGTTAAAATTCTAACAAAAAATAATCAAACCTCCTCATCACATGGTTGTTTGGTTTTATTTTTCATAAACCTTTTTAAGACCAGTTTTCATGTTTTCATTTGTCTTTGTTGTTTTCTTTTTCAGTCAACATGTTTTCTCTTTTTAGATGCCAAACAAAAAATGCACACAAATTTTTATTCAGATTTTTATTTATTTTTAGTGATATGTGTTTTCATATTTTAGTGAATTTGTTTTGCTTTTTATATGCGTCTAGACACACCTCTAACAAGTTTTTTTTTTAAAAAAAAAAATTACTTCAAAATAATAATAAATTCACTACAAAAAATATATCTAAAAGCAAATTTGAAAAAATTAAACCAACTAGATTTTGTAGAGTGGAAATAAATTTCAAATTTTCAAATATATATTTTTAGTTTTATATTTGTCAAATTAATTTATATTTTTCAAAAATATATATATATAAACAGAGTGGAAATAAATTTCAAATTTTCAAATATATATTTTTAGTTTTATATTTGTCAAATTAATTTATATTTTTTAAAATATATATATATGAAAACATGTTTTTAAAATAAAATTACGAGATAGTCTAGTGAATGAGTACTTTATTTTTATACATAATGTTTGAATTTGAATTTTTTGTACAATTAAATATGCATAAAAATTGAGAAAGTGAAAAAGTGGACGTTAGTGAAGCACTATTAGAAGTGGACACTGATTAGGGTTCTTGCAAAGTATGTCAAATATCATTTTCAAAGTTTTAGACAGAATATGAAATGGGTAATATTTTAAATTTCAAAAATTCTATCAAATATTTTATATGTGATACATTTGATATAAATTTTGATAAAATTTTTAGAATCTCTAACATTTTTTATATGAAATTAGACCAATCCAATCTCAATTAGATTGGTTTGAGGTTTTTTATTTGAATTGTGTTTTAATCATAGTTTAAACATTTTATAAAGCCTCATTTATCAAAAAAATATATAAAATTATATTTTGTAGAAAATTTGGTAGTTGGTAAGAGATTCATTTTCTACAATGATTATGAATAAAAATATATATGTAGTAAAAAATTAGAATATTAAAATTGATTGAATATTTGAGACGGTCTAATATATAGATGATATGTTGTTTTGGAAAATTGGTAAAAAATTGATTTTTTGGCTTTTTGGTGACTTTTTTGACAAAAATTTTGACTTCTTTGGCTAAAAAAATTATTTTTTTTGACTAAAAAAACTAAAAAGTCAAAAAATTGGTTTTTTTAACTTTTTCCCAAAGTGCCTAGATATATTGGGGTAAAAAAAGTACAAAATGATAAATAAGTTAATAAGATAAAATATCACATCAAACTCATAATTATTATACTTTTTCTCTCACAAAAGTCAAAAAAATCCAAATCAAACGAGACTAATAAAGTTAGGCTAAAAAAGTCTTAATATAAAAAAAATTTGATTATATTAGCCAATGTCAAACGAAGCTGAGAAACTATATGAAAATTAACTTAAAATATATATTATGATTTACTATTTTGTTTCGGGTAAATTACAAATGCACCATTGAGATTTAATTAAAATACGAATCGACTTTTATGATTTTAAAAATTGCATTTCACCTCATGAGATTTTTAATTTCGTAACAAATCGCTCATTTTATTAATAAATTATCAAATCAATTAACAGTTTTTAATGATGTTAAAAATATATTTTAATTAATAATTTAAATAATTTTATTATTATTTATGAGAATAATTATAAATTTTATTTTTTTAATTAATTTTGTTAAATAAAAAATTATAATAAAAAAATATTTATAATTTTTTAAATCACAAAAATAATTTAAATTTTCAGTAAATATCAATTTACCCTTTTGTTTTTATACATTTTTCAACCCAGAAAATAAATGTAGAGAGGAATGTAGAAAGTGGCACCGGACCTCTTTGAGGTGACATGTTTACTTTTACCAACCCAAAAGTGTCCCTTATCATTTATTTTATATTATTTGGGCCCACCCATCACTTTTATTATTGAGCAGTATACTTATTCCCAATTTCAAACCGTGATGTGCGCGCAACCTCGGATTACCAATCAGATTTATTTTACTTTATTTATTTTTTATGTTTTCAAAAAACAAAAATAAAAATAGTGATAAAATAATTTAAGAGACTTTTTTTTTAGTCCATAATATTAAGATTTTATAAGATAAATAACATATAATATTTTTATAACAATTAAGACCCTTCAATATTTTCACAGATAAATTTTGACTCAGATAATTTTTACCCGACTCAAAATAATTTCAAATTTAGAGAAATTTCAAAATTCTATATGATCATACCAAAAAAATTTCAAAATTTCAATGTGAAAATTGAAATTTTTTCTAGTCGGAACTGAAATTTCTCTGCGTCAAATTTTTTCTATAAAAATATTAAGGGATCTTAGTTAATAAAAAAAAATATTTTAGACTTTTCCTATTACACGAAATTTGAGATAAATGTTTCACTAACTTCCCCAATAATTTATAGTGATATTTTAATTACAAACCGAAGTTCTCAAACAAGACCTAATACTAGCGATTCATTTATAAAATTTGAAAGTAAATAGATCCAAACTATATCAAATGAATAATTATAACAACAATGCTACAAACTTCTAAAAAACACAATTCTCACAATCTCCACTCATTTATAATTGGTCCAAAAAGGAAATAAATAAATAAAAACACATAATTGATCCATATCATTTTGAGGGTCATGGGGGTTCCCAACCTTGGGGTCCCAAGCATTTTTCTAACTATAAGTTAAAAGATCATTATGGCTATTTTAGAAAGATGATTAAAAGTCATCTTCTAGTTTTAACCAAATTTTAATCATATCATCTCTCACATTTTTTACACATCTTTCAAAAAAAATTAAAAAATTAACTTTTAATTGTCTTCCCAAAATAGGCTTATATCTCTATTTATCTATCTATATATACACTGTCTGTCTGTCTATCTGATTCCATCACTTATACCTAATTTCAGAATGAGGTTAAAAGTAAATTTTTTTGATTTTTAGTCACATCACTTTTTTATTTTTTTACATATTTTCATAAAAAAAAATTAATTTTTAACCAACTTTCCAAAATTATTTTTATTTGTCTAACATTATGTCTATTTATTTGTTTATTTATCATCAATATATTCACTTGTCATTATATTATTTATTTATGTGTTACTCATATTATATCGTGTCCATCACTATACTGCTGGAGTCTTCCCGGCGAACTTTCCCATGCTATCTCATTGGCTTTTGTTAGAAAAACAACTATTTGATGTTTGATTGTTATTCTGTCTTCATACCGAGGCTATATATGGAAATTCACGTCTGAAATAAAATAAAGTAAATTATTATTTAAATATTAACCCATTTTCTAATTGAAAATCAACCGTGCAAGAGGTAATTATTCAGTAATGAAAAATGCTAAAGACCCCAAATAAATTATCAAATGTTCTATCAAACCTTTCACATGAGTGTATGACCCACGCACATGTGATTTGTATGAGTCTCACACCCATGTAAGAGGTTTAGTAGAATATTTGATAATTTATTTGAAATCCCTATCATAATTCTTCAGTAATTTCGGGATATAAGCACGTAGTATTCTATAGTATTATGATTGGTAAATAATGTGGGTAAATAAGGTATTGTATTGAGTGATTAAAAAACATGAAAAGACATATTAAATGATGATTAATTAAAAAGTATAGACGCATAGTACTCCGAAAATATTTAATAATTTCCCGTGCAAGAGACATCTAGCGGCGGATGGAGAATATTTAGATCATATTTGTTTGGCTCTTTAGGAAATAAAATATAATTAATAGTCCGTGAAATCTATCTAAAGGGTATTTAGTTTAGAATATGAGTGAGGGAATTAACTATCCCCTTTGACTAGTAATCCCCCATATTAGTTATGAGAGGGTTGAGATTAGAAATTGAGTGATGAAATTAGTAAAATTTTAAATAATTTATAAGAAAAAATTATATTTTTTAGAATAAAAACATAAATATAATATTAAAAAATACTAAAACTTAAAAAATATTAATTGTATATATTAATATTATCTATATATTACTAGTCTGATGGTATACAAACAAACACTCAAAATGATTATAATATTAAAAAAATGCCAAAAATTTTAAAAAATAATTTTATATAATAACACTATCCTATATATTATTAGTCTGATAGTGTACAAACAAACACTCTTTATTATATATTTTCAACTTTATAACACTACAGTAATAATATTTTCACTCAACCCGTTGTACTATTTAATTTCATCTGTCATTTTAAGCTAAATAAACGTGGCATTAAGGTGGATAAATTTGAGGGAAAATGAAAGATACAGTCACTAACATCGTATATTCAGAACACTGCCCAATAACAACAAGCCACATAACACAATAAGAATGAGAAAAGAGTACTAGAGACCCACGTATTTATGGGATAAATTTCCTTTCATATCTCATTTTTCCATACTTCTCA